AAATATTTCATGTGGGGACTCATTGCACAGGGGTCAAATGTTCAGGTGGTATATTTCATGTGGGGACATATTGCACAGGGGTCAAATGTTCAGGTGAGAGATATTTCATGTGGGGACTCATAGCACAAGGTGTCAAATGTTCAGGTGAGAGATATTTCATGTGGGGACTCATAGCACAGTGTCTCAAATGTTCAGGTAAGATATTTCATGTGGGGACTCGTAGCACAAGGTGTCAAATGTTCAGGTGAGAGATATTTCATGTGGGGACTCATAGCACAGGGTGTCAAATGCTCAGGTGAGATATTTCATGTGGGGATTCATAGCACAGTGTCTCAAATGTTCAGGTAAGATATTTCATGTGGGGACTCATAGCACAGTGTCTCAAATGTTCGGGTAAGATATTTCATGTGGGGACTCGTAGCACAAGGTGTCAAATGTTCAGGTGAGAGATATTTCATGTGGGGACTCATAGCACAAGGTGTCAAATGCTCAGGTGAGATATTTCATGTGGGGATTCATAGCACAGTGTCTCAAATGTTCAAGTGAGAGTTATTTAATGTGGGGACTCATTGCACAGGGGTCAAATGTTCAGGTGAGAGATATTTCATGTGGGGACTCATAGCACAAGGTGTCAAATGTTCAGGTGAGAGATATTTCATGTGGGGACTCATAGCACAGTGTCTCAAATGTTCAGGTAAGATATTTCATGTGGGGACTCGTAGCACAAGGTGTCAAATGTTCAGGTGAGAGATATTTCATGTGGGGACTCATAGCACAGGGTGTCAAATGCTCAGGTGAGATATTTCATGTGGGGATTCATAGCACAGTGTCTCAAATGTTCAGGTAAGATATTTCATGTGGGGACTCATAGCACAGTGTCTCAAATGTTCAGGTAAGATATTTCATGTGGGGACTCGTAGCACAAGGTGTCAAATGTTCAGGTGAGAGATATTTCATGTGGGGACTCATAGCACAAGGTGTCAAATGTTCAGGTGAGATATTTCACGTGGGGACTCGTAGCACAAGGTGTCAAATGTTCAGGTGAGAGATATTTCACATGGGGACTTATAGCACAGTGTCTCAAATGTTCAGATGAGATATTTCATGTGGGGACTCATAGCACAGGGTGTCAAATGTTCAGGTGAGATATTTCACGTGGGGACTCATAGCACAAGGTGTCAAATGTTCAGGTGAGAGATATTTCATGTGGGGATTCATAGCACAGTGTCTCAAATGTTCAAGTGAGAGTTATTTAATGTGGGGACTCATTGCACAGGGTGTCAAATGTTCAGGTGAGAGATATTTAATGTGGAGACTCATAGCACAGTGTCTCAAATGTTCAGATGAGATATTTCATGTGGGGACTCATAGCACAGGGTGTCAAATGTTCAGGTGAGAGATATTTCACATGGGGACTTATAG